TTGGAGGGCATTAAGGCGGCATTATGTGCCACTAGTGTTGGAGTGGTGAAGGGGATTGCACCGTTGCCCCTTCTGTTGCATTTGAATTTGGCAAACGTCTTCAACATTTGCATATCTTGTTTCGTGTATCTTTGTATACCCATCTCCATCTGTGCATCTTTCCCTCACTCTCTCACTCTTGCAGTCTCTACTCTCTCTCTCTCTCTCTCTCTCTCTCTGCATTTCTCTCAAACCCCTTTAGAAGTATAATTTGCAAAATGAAATGACAAAGTTTTGCACACAGTTAACAATATTAAATCGGATTTCAAAAGGCGGCATCTCTTTATGGGCGCTACCTCGCTCTTCGCCCCTTCCTTCCTGCCGTTTCTCGTTGCTCCTCGCTGTCAGCTGAAAATGTAATTACATTTTGCCTGTTTTGTGTGTTAACAAACCGTATAATTGGCCCAAACTACGACCTGCTACTCCTGCATTCCATGTCCTCAACTGAATCCTCCATCAAGCTTCAGCATCAATGGAAGTGGAAACAGCAGCAAAAGCAACAGCGACAGCAACAGTTGGCCGCATTCGAGACTCGGAATCAGATTCAGTCTCCGATTCCGCTCTAGCTTCGGCTTCTTTAATGAGTTCCATGGAAATTTGTGCGACAGATGGGTGTTGTAATGTAATTTGAAAATTTTAACAGATTGCGGAGTGGAGGGACGTGCTTGGAAAATGTATCCTATGATATCATAGTACACAGGAGCGTTAGTTGGCTTCAATTAAGATTGGTTAACTAGTTGAACTTAACTGTGTTAAACTGCAACAATAAAGATTTGTTGGGTGGACAAAATCAGCTGTAATTTAATGGATACTTCCTGACTTGACCGTTTAATACTTCAAAATGATTCTATATATTATTAGATATATTTCATCAATCTTCTCCACAATCTAAACCTTTCTTCCATTCCCTAAATGCCTCTTAAAGCATCTAAACTTCGTTTAAGTTGAGCTTTAAATTTGTGATTTGGTTTTTCTTTTCGTGGTTTTTGTCGCCATATTGCAGTGCTTAATTTTATTGCTCGCTTTTATTGTTGTAATTCTGTGAAATCTTCGCTGGTTCGTGTTGTTTTTTCTTTCTTATGCTCTGAAAAACTTTTGCAATTGTGTGCGACTTGCTATCTCTTTCTCTATTGTTGTCGTGCTGTCTGTGTGTGTGTACAAAAATTAGCCTCATTTTGTTGGGCTTTTGTGCTCCCGCCAGCCAAGGAATCTTGGAGGAGCGGACTGAGGAGACCAAGCGGTAAATCAAAAGTTGAAAATTATAATAAAGTCACTTTTGGCGTTGCTATATCATGTACCGTGCACCTCCCCCGCATCCCACTCTCTCCGGCACACCATCTCCCCATCTGTCTCTGTTCAAGTTTTTATCAAGTTTGGTTGCAGCCACAAAAAAAATTCTTATTCTCTTTCGCTCTCTGTGGCTTTTTTGTTTGTGGCTAATAAAAGCCAAAACAATTTAGATTAACTGTAAATTGTGTTATCCAGTAACTGGACTTGTATCTCCCATTGCTGGTGTAGTTGTTGCTGTAATTCGTGTAGCTGTTGAAGCTCCTTGAGCTGGTAATTTGTAATGCGCTGTAATGTAGGCAACACTTCTGTGAACCACGCTCAAGGAAGTCAATTCAAAAGGCAGAAGTTGGGGTGAAACTAGATGGATGAGTGGTGGGTGGGTGCAGCAGCTGCTTGGGGGATAAATAATGCTTGAATAATTACAAGCAACATGATTTTGAATGGCCCAAAAATATGATTTGACAAAAGGCAGCGCCAGCAGAGCGAGGGTTGCTCAACAAATTGAGCGGCATAATGGTTTCCAGGAATTGTAACTCAATAAATATATAAACTGCAAGTTTTATATTTGATTTTTGAACAGATATCTGTCAGTCTTAAGCCTCAGATACTCTGATTAAATATTCGGGAACTTCCAATAATCTGGTAAAACTTCAAACAGATACCGCAACCTTTTCCCTCATTTCCCCACCTTATCGAACTGTTAAATCCAACCTCCTTAGTTTTGCATATAGACGGAGAGAGGGCGGAGACGACTTCCGTCCATTTCTCTTTCTTCCTCTGCCAGCCTCTCCCATTGGCATCTGGTTGGTGCTCCTTCGTTGACATTTCTCTTTGGTTTTCGACTGCCTTTTGTCTGGGGCTTGGGGTCCACTCAATGCGCTCTGTTAATTTTGCTCTACAAATGGAAAGTGGAACTCGTAGAAGAAGGGCTTAGGCCGAGCTATCACTAAATGCGCTTGAATTATTTATAAAAGGCATATTCATGAGAATTCACCAGGTAATGGATGGGGCGGGGCAGGGGCGGTGGGTAGGGGATCTAACGGAAATGTTAACTAGTTTGAGCAGAAGCAAAGCAGCTTGACAATGGCATTAGAATGTCGAAAGTTTCAGGCCAGGCAACCGCTTAGTCACTCAATTAGCACGGTCAGTTCTTTAGCTTTTTATGCAAATCTGCCGACAGTTGTGGCCATGGAAGAGGCAAAGTGGGTATGGAAATGGGAACCATTAAATTGTACATCAACTGTACATTAACTTGCCTGTTTTTGTTTCATTAGCCAAGACAGAAAGAGGAGGAGCAGCAGCAGCAGCAGCAGCAGGAGCACACCCTGCGGCTACTGTCTCAAGTTGAAAGCAGCTCCCGCCTTAGCCACTTGACACTGTGACAGCATCTGGCGGGAAGGCAGCGCTGCCTTGTTGCAGTTGCAACAGCAGGAGGCAGCCACAAGCCTTTAACAAAAGCTGACAAAGAGCAATGGCGAAAAAGGGAGAGGGAAAGAAGAGAATGCCATTTGGCTTTTGCATATGCGAAACGAAACGCAAACGCAAAGAAAAATGCAACAAAACCGGAAAGAAAAGGTCATAAATGATGATGGCACTTTCCGAGAATATTGAGCCTGAATATTGAGTGCGTATGAAAGATGAAAACGGAGAAAAAGGGCAGGCGAACGATGAAGTATGAAACACTAGAGATGGAACGAGAACTTCAGTCCCCACTTACAGCACTGGTCACGTGCGAGACACGCAGTAAGTGAAAAAGTTCAATAAGGCCATCTCTATGAAGGGAGCAATAAGACAACATGAAATATAGCCAATCGATGAGTGCTTGGAGGTGCACTGAAAGTGCAAGGTAAACAGCGCGAAGGAGCAAATGCATTGAGAAGTTTGATCAGCTTTGAGTAGCCCCTGAAATAATATTAAATGCAATGAAGAGGATGCCATTAAGTTTATGAAAACATAAGGCAAACAATTAGGTAAATGAAATAAACACACTCACACGTGAGTGGGTAAAGCCTTGCCTTAAATTATAATTATTTAAACTTGAGTTACACTTGAGCATAGTATAAAGATAGATTACTTGTTTGAAGTACTATGTGCCATACAAAAATTGTATAAATTGATGTTAAAAACAATTCAAAAGAAGGAGTTAATAATGCCATTTACAAATCAACGCTTACTTAATGCAATTAATATTTATTTGGCTCACATTACAGTACAGAATTTAAATATGCATTTGAAAATGTTTTAAATTCCCGTCGAGACCCAAGCAATAATTTTCCCATTAAAAACACACAGTAAATAGTTACCTTTTTTGCTATTTAATACTTAATTGGTTATGCAATGCTCCATGGCCTGGCTGTAGCCATATCCATTGCAAAGGCATTTAAATGCCCGTAATTTGTTGATCAATCAATAGCAAGTGGCATTAAGTTGATGCAACATTGTTTGCCAACGCGGTTTTGTGTCTTTACGCATCGCTAGAGAAGGTGTGGCATGGACAGTAACGGCAAAAAATTAAATGAAGAAAAACAATCTGTCAGTGCCGACACCTTTGATGCTCTGCAGGATGAGATCATTGATGAAAGAAGAGTAGTTTTAATTATTTTATGCAAAGACTTACATAAATACAAAGGTCTGGTTCCAATCAAAATCCCCTACTCGCAGGGCAAGATAGATGGAAAATAACTTCTCTGCTGGACATTAATCAGTCGGTCTCTCTCTCTCTCTCTCTCTCAACCTGTCTCTCTTTTTGTACCCTCTTTTGGCTTTGTGCGTGTGACATATGCAAATATTTATGCATCACTCCTTTGGCTTCACTTTTGCTGCAGTCTGCTCTCCCGGTACAGTTGTGCATGAAATTATGTAAATGCACTGCGTGTGCACATGTTTGTGTGTCTCTGTCGAGAAAAGCAAATATACTCGCACTCGCACTCGCACTAGTACTTCCACAGTGGCAAAGGCAGGGGCCGTAAAAGTTAAGTAAATATATAAACACGCATCGGTTTACGCTCCCCTGCCTGTCAGCCTCTTTATTATTGTTATATGTTGATATTGTTACGGATACATGTGCATATAGAGCTCCACTCATACATGTACTTATGTGTGTGTGTGTGTGTGTGCACTCGCCCGTATATAAATCAAAATGTTTGTAAGTTGAGTAAACAACATTGAAAATCAGTTATATTTTACTGCATTATAAACTCCCCAATATACCATCACAGTGCCCTTTCCATTCCATTCTTCGACGCACAAAAAATGGCCACCCTGTGGATGACCTTTTACGAAATTCTGTCGATAAATTGCGCGTGAATGATGCATAAATCAAATGAAGTTGAATAATAACCAGCACAAAAAATATACGCAACGACTACAAGTATGTACCACACATGGCATATCTGGGCATACTTTTATTTTTTGGTGTTCATCATGCAATAGTTTACTTTTTTTTGGCTGCATCACGCATTACGGAATAAAGAAGGGGATTTGATTGGGCTGTCAAAATGCATATTTTAATGCGGCTGACGTATAAAATTCATAAAAGAAAAGTGACTTTGGAAAAAAATATCAATTTGGCTTGATGGATTTAAGGTTTTTTTTTTATGTCCAAACCTAGATGCTCCAAATTATGTTTTTTTCCATTTGTATGCACATTGCTGGAATGTTGAAATAAATATGTAGAAATTCCAGTTGTGGGATTGTGAAATTTCACATTATTTCATGTTTTATGGCCAGCAGAAAATGTATCCTGTTGTTCAACGTCGTTGGACCTCTGCTCGATTCAAGTTCCGCTGATACATTACAAAGAGGGCAAAGACGGCAAAGGCCAGGAGAGTGACCAAAAGGCCATAGTATCCGGTGTTGAAAACATCGCTGTAGATCTCGGTCACATCCCCGCCATACACACTCTTCAGCTTGTCCAGTGTGTCCTCCATTGTTCAAAAGAATTTCGACATTTTCTGAGCCCAAAATTTGGTTGGATTTTTCGAAATGTAAAGATGATGTTTGGCCAACGGCCTCCTGGGATGGCAAGGCAAGAACAGACAACGACAACGACAACCGGCAGAGTTGCCTAACAATGATGAATCATCATTTACAGGGGGGGGGGGGGGGGGGGACACAGGATGGTCGCTCCGTGAGCTCGTCCTGCGATATAATTGAATTTAGTGCTAATGATGGCATTGACGATAATACATAATATTCGACATTAATTCAAGCAGACATTAATTGATTGATTATTTGATTGCATTATTGTCAATATCACAATTGCAATTTCGTCGCTTCGTTGCGTGGCTAATTCGAGCACACGGCCGCGTCAACGCGTCCTGTGTCCTTGATGACATTCGAGTTTGACACATTCGCGTTATCCAATGTTTGCCATTTGGCAAACAGTATTGATAATAATAATTTAGCACAATTTACATGCTGACAGCCGTAATTAATCGATGCCATCCATGGATCCATGTATCGCAAGCCGCCATCAAATGGTGTCTGATTTTAGTTGAAAATTTAAACAAGTTGATGGCATTATTTTGTAGTCGTAATTAGATGATTATGGCGGTGGAACATTCTTTGATTTATGTATGTACATAGATTTTTCAGCATCACTTTAGAATGATAATTTTCATTTTCAAGCCTTATCAAATGAAACCAATTATAAATACATCAAGCGGATGTAGTTTAATATTATTTGCAATTTTACAGATTATCTGAAATTTAAATACCTCTGGCTGGAGATTCTGTTTGCGATTTATATTTATATTTTATTTGATTGTTGAACCGTCGATAACATTGTACAAGAATGTTAACATGTTATGTTAACAGCGCTGTTAAAGCTGCCGCTCTGCACAATGTTAAGCTCTTGGATTTTAGTTTCGTGTCTCTTATCTGAATCTCCCGTGCTCCTATTCTGTCTCTTTGCTACTGCAGATGTGATACTTCTCAGCCTGCAGCTTCCCCACCGATAAAGTATTCTCTAGCCCTTAGCACTGGCCTCACTCATTCCGCCTCAGTGGTTCCCATTGGAGCAGGTGAATATTTTTACTTGAGAATAAGATGGAAAGAAAAAAAATGTTTAATTTACATTTTACTTTTGCGTTTGCCCCTTTCCACTTGGCAATTATCTGGCCCGAGGAGATTCTAAGCGAAATTTGTGCGCCCTGCAATTAAACATATAAAAAAAAAACAAAAAAAGGAACGAAAATTCCTGTTGCTGGCTTTTTCTGTGTTATTTTTTTCGGTTGCTTGCTGCTGGCATGCATTATTCATGGGCCTTGGCTAACCAAATTAAAAGCCAGCCCCAGCCTCTCTCTATGGCCCCACTGCTGGGCTGGCCAAATAATTGTTTGAAGTAGATTCTGGCTGCCCTGTAATCTGCCACAGTTCTGGCCACTAATTTCGCCTTGAGACAAAACCGCCTACCCAAAGAGTAAGTACTCTCAAGCACTAAGCTCAATTCAAATTGTTTGTGGCAAGAGAAACAGCGACGGGGACAGGGACAGGAACAGGGAGAGAGTGAATGCCTGGAAGTAATTGAAATATTGGCAGCGCCCGAGAGAGAGAGAGAGAGAGTTCAACTTGTAAATTATGCACGCAAAAAGAGAGTAGAATAAACTCAAAAGAGTTCGCGGAAACACACTGCAGAGAGCGAGAGGCAACTTTTCATGAGATTCTCTTTAATTTATAATTTATCAGTTTTGTGCTTTTGAAGCTGTAAGAGTAAACTTTGATTGCGGTAATTAGTAAATTGTGCAGCTCCCCAGACGGGCACTCCCACTTGTCTACCTGTGGGGCAGTCACAGAGAAAATGGCTTTGAATGTACGACTATAAAATACCCAAATATTACAGAAACAATTCTTAAGAGTTGTCTTACATTTGAGACAGTTAGTTTTGCCACATGTCGCTTGTTCCCTTTCCCTGAACACAACATGCCCTTGCATTGCTGGGTGCGGCAACTTCTTAAACTACAATTTGTTTCGGTTGTGGGGTAGTCGAAGGCGGCTACGTAAAGTCCTCTGAAAAGGGTAAACTTGCTAAACCAATTTGCCGAGGGTTCCGCTCCGACTATCTCAATATATGTAAGTTTATCGCACAATGAAATTGCCCATGAGGCAATATACATAGTTTCCTGGCTCGGCTTCTGCTGCAGGACATCTTGTGCTTTTTCTTGTGGCTTCTGCTCAGCTTTTATTATTGTTACTTTGAGGCCGCTCCAGTTAGTTTTTTTTTTGCCAGGTAAGACCTAAGCTAGCCCACAACAAAAAAGTGTTAGCATGCTCCACGCGACAGTCCCTCCCATCACAAAATGTCAGGAGGAAGGACTAGCTGTACACATGCGTTTGGTGTGTGTATGTAAAAATTTCAGACGTGATGTAAATTTCTATTGAATGCTGAATGGGCAGAAAAATATTTTTAATGGTCTTTTGGCCAGCCAAAGCGATACAAAAGACTCGAGACCCAGGCTCCAAGTCCAAGCCCTATCCGTCCCACGTCCAAGCCATATCAGAATTGTCGACAGTTGAATGAATTGTTGCTGGGATGGGGGCTCCGGACAGGTGCTAACATGTGGTTTGGGCACCCAAAACGATTCAACATATGCTTGTATTTTTTTGGAATAATAAGCAGAAAAGGTTGGCAGTTCGATTTGCCATGAGAAAAGGCACAAAAAACACAATAAAATTGAACATTTTGGTATGTTAATGCAATTACATAGAAGCAAATTAGGTTAGACAGAGAGCCAATTGGAGGTATTGTTTTTTGCTAATCAACGAAACTGACGAACCAAACAAATTTGTGTTCAGTTTTTGGCTCAATATTTGAATAGAAACTTAAGGAACTCTAAGCAACTTCTTATTTTCGCTTCTTTATAATATAAATACAGGGATTAGTTTGATTATTTATGATTATGAAATCAAGGACAATTAAGATTGCCATTAACTCAGCACAAAAAACCGATTTCATATGCCAATTTCAATGCAGTCAACAGGCAAAGCAATCAATTTATGCGATTTTCCTCCCCTTTCCATCATTCAAAAAACACTTTAAACCATTTTACGTTTTGTCATAATTGCAAATGCCGTTATCAGATCATCACGAATAAACACAGAGAGAGAGAGAGAGAGAAACACACACACAACACACACAGAACCAGAACCAGAACCAGAACATGACCTTTATCAAATCAAACTTAATTCCCATAAAATCCCCATCAACTGGGTGCAACATCGATGACCTTGTCCCCACTTCCCAATGCACAGCAGAATCAGCTAAAAACAACAACAAAATAAAACCAGTGAAATTTCCAACCCAATAACGACAAAAATAAGTCAACAGAGTAAAAGAGACAGCTGATCAGAGGGAGAGAGCAAAGGCAGCGTGTCATGTCATTATTGGGCTTTGACAGGCAAATTCCGAAAATTCAAATATTCCAAATCGATTGCATTCGCTTACGGAATGGCATCGGTCGCTGGATGTATGTATTTGTACATGGACAGCTCTCGGTTTTGTATTTATGGAACTCTGTCGAAAATATTTGAATATGCACGAGTACGGGTAGGAGTGGGAGTGGTGTATCTATTGTATTTTTGCATAATTTGGCATGTAAAACATTTACAACAATGCAAAGCCAAATGAAAAACGTGTTGTGAGGAGAGGGAGTTTAGAGTAAAATTATGGAAATATTACATCATGCCTGATGCCAGGGAAATTGTGCGGCTTTTCTATTTTGATTGCAGTTGATTGTTGTCCTTGTTGCTGTTGCTGGTACGAGTATACCCTGGTGACTGTGGCTATCCCAGATCAATGTGGGTATATTAGATACCTATGGGAATGCCATTTGAATTGGCTACACTAACTATCAACTAAGTGGAGAGACAGGGAAGAGAAGAGTTCAAAGGGATGTTATAGATGTCATGCAGATGTGAAATTAACTCATTAATAAGCGCAAATGAGTCACTGAAGCACTGACAATAGCTGAGGCACAGCTTTTTGTACACTCCCATAATGGGTACCATAAAAGTCCAGTCTCCTTTCTAAGTTATTTCGCTGTAATCCATCTGTTGTGTTATTTTAGAATACCAGCTTTGCACGTACTTAGACACCTTCTGTTGACTGCTGTGGCTGCATTATAATTATGTATATACATATGTGCATGTAAAATCCGAAATATCAAATATGGATTGCATTCCCACACACACAGAGAGATCGTAAAACCACTACACACATGGATATACGAATCTCTATGTACATGGGTCGTTTTTTACCTGCTGCCGCAGTGAGTTGGTTGCTTATGTTTTGGTGTCAGGGAGCAAAGTGCAGTCAGTTCGTTATGCAAATGCCCGTATGCCAAGTTTAGAATGCGATTTCTAGTGGTTTGCCTTCATGGCATGGCTACAGTGCAGTGCATAACTACATGAACTAGGGGAACATGCGAATTTGAAAGGTTTTGCACAAAATTGTTTGAACAACTTCAAGCCTCTTTTTTACATTTTGTACTGCTACAAATTCCCGAGGATTCACATTGAATCATACATCCATGAAACGCACTGCACCTGCCTTTTTCGGGCCTTTCTTGTTGTCATCTTCCACATATTTATCTTGTGCGAACATTTTGTTGTCATATTTACTTATCAACAGGCAACAGACTGCGGAAAACTTCTTTGGCGTCGCCTCAAATGCCATAACAAAATAATTCTGTTGTTCCCAAATTTATGCTTCTTCCTCGTACATGGAATGGGGGAATATCTTGCACACATAAACCAAGTGTGATGCTCATGTAATCCCGCAGTAAGTTGTCTTTTTCCCTCTGCTGTCACTTTTCTTGGCCAAAAATTCAAGGTGAATGCGTCGCAGCTTAAATGTATCTCGAAGCTTTTGTTTATTTCAATAAAAAAGCAATTTATAAAGTCAAGCTTTACCTGTTTCATTTTTGCTACCTGCGGATGTCGCCAAAGTTATGCAAATATCTATGAGGTAGGGCGGAAGCAGAACCGTCTGTCATGTGGGTCATAAAAGACACTTTTTATTGCTCATTTGACAATATGGCCCACATCCCCTCTGTTCCTATGTTCCCACAAAAGCGCAGCTTTGATGCCAAATCTAAATAATTTGGCAATTTCGTGCTGATTTTATTACAAGCCACAAAAGGGGACGCATTTAAAAATACAAAATAAAAGCGAAAGCACGCAGGTATTCCTCAGAGACCTGAGTATGTCGATAAGGTTTGATTAAAATGTATTCGTGTCATACACGGCGTCTGTGCAGACATATCCAGAGCACAGAGAAAAGAAAACATTGTTCAAATTTGTTAAATTAAGCTTCAGACGGTGTCAAAGTGGAGACGAATAGCAGCGTAGGTGCATGAATATTCTGCAAACTTTTCTTTATACTCTTTGAAAAGAGTTGGGCCTTTTCATGGGGAATCCCAGGACTTCATTTTTCGTACTCTTATACTCCATCAAGTAGAGGTTTTTGTTTCTACTTCCAATAGAGCATTCAAACATCATTTTGGTAACAATTTCTTTTGCTCAAAAACTTTTTGCTCGTCGGCTGATTAAACTTTCTCCCACTGCACTTCTCTGAGGTTGACTTCATTTGAGTCATAAATTTGTGACTGTGGCCTGCCGTCTGCCTGCCGGAGGTGGGACAGAATCAACTTCTTCGCACCTGCAGGGCAAGTGCAATTGTAGTATTTCCCAACTGAAACTTTTTCTTACATATATCCTCGTCCGTTTTGCTCATACAAACTTGCCAGCAAGATCCCGCAAGACCCAGAAACTATCTCTCTCTTTTTAATTATAAAATAACCTTTGGTAGTGTGTGTTGTTGTTCTTTTCCGTTGGTCAAAAGCCTGCCAGAATATGGCCGAAACAACGAGTGCAATTGTTACCCTGGCCCCTGTGTCTGGTCGCAATTGATGGCAATGCCGTGTAATTAGCCACAAATTGTTTAGGCCTAGTTGAACGCACACGCAAAGTGGGTAAAAGGGATAGATATACGGTTAGAAGGAGAGGGCGAGAGAGATAGAGAGAGAGAGAGACAGTTTGAGCGTTCCGCAAAAACCGAAATTTGTGTGCACAAAACCAAAAGATTACACAATTTTGGGTTCCACTAAAGTGCCGTATCCTGTCTATGTATTTGAACTCGTTTCCCCTCTATGTGTCCCATATCCTCCGCCCTGCTCGCACTCAGTGAAGCCTCTCTTTATACTCCCTCGACGGTCCCAATTAGGTAGGCTGCTCATGTCCACGCAAATTAAAATAAAATTTCTCTCCCATTTTTGTACCCTTGCAAAGGGTATTCTACATTTTTGGCAATTCCGGTAAGCAGGAAGCAGGAAGCAGGAAGCAGGAACCAGGTTTCAGGGTACTTTTATCGGTGTAAAACGGAATACAACTGTCAGTAGTTGTGGCTCTGTAAAGGCATCCAGGAATTTGTTGACAGAGAACACATTTCATCTCTGCTATTTTTTTATTTGTTCCTTTTTGGGTTGGTTTTGGTCTTTCTGGCTTAGTCAGGCCAGCAAAATTATTTGTATGGCAACGCTTGCAACTTGTCGCCGCAAAATGAATTGAACTTTTATGGCTAATGACGTTGTGTGCCTCACGTTGCATGCGGCCTGCTGCTGCACGTGTCGTATACGCAATTACATAACATTTGCCGGGGCCTTTCCGAGCATGTTCAACTTGTAATGCAGCACTTGGTTAGACGGCACCGACTGGAATGGTTCAAGGATGGCGACGGGGCTGTGCGAGCGAATTGTATTTATTTAGGTATCTAGTGCTGCGGCGAGTGGAGTGTGTGGAATTGTGAGTGAACTTATACAACAATGAGGTTATGCTGGAAGTTTCATAAAATGTTTTCGTTGGAAACTCAAGCGTGTCCACTGTTGGGTTAGTCAGACTGTCCTCGGACTAATTTGTGTGTTTTCTGGGACAAGTTAGGCAGATGGCATTCTCATCCTCCATCCTTTCTGCTCCTTTCGTCGCAAGTCATTTTATACAAGTATTTGGCTTGGGCTCGACTGGCATTCTATCCCCGATTGTGGTTGCTTAATCCGCTGACGCCTCAGCTTGTACTCGTAAATGAGTCGCATCCAAATGGCTTGGCACATGCGCACCAGCCGCTGATCCTTCTCACTGTGAACACGCGCAAACTGTTGCTGATCTCGGATCAGGTGCTTGGCCTCAAGCAAGTGTCCTCGCTGGATCAACGATATGCTGTAGTAGAGCTTGCAGCGTGCCTGTAGGAAGGGATCGCCCAGCCGGAGACCAATATTCAGTTGTTGCAACGAGATTTTGCCAGCTGTTTTTGCCTGTGGGCAATAATTTGATAAAGAATAAGCTTGCAAATCTGCCAAAAGCTACTTACGCATCGCTCAAACTGATCGCCCAGTGCTGAGAAGCCACCGCCGAGTGTGGATAGCCAGGACATCAGGTTCTGCACCTCAACGTGCTCACGGATGGTGTGGGCCAGTATCTGTGCCCACTTGTAGTCGATGGTGTCCCGTTCCGGTGGCTCAAAGTCCAGCCAAATCAATTGCACGCCGTGGTGTCTCTGCAGTCCAAATGCCAGGACCCGTTGCTGCACGAACTCTCGCAGATAATAGTTGCCATTTATCGCATTCACTTGTAGCCTTAAACGACGCAGTTGCCTTTTCCTGTAAAGGGCACAGTTGGCCTTTGTTGTGGGCGCGTCCGGGCTTGGTGGTGAGCAATTGTAGTAGTGGCGCCGCTTCCAGTAGTCACAGACGCAGACAATTGGCGTTCCAGGCATCATTTCCAACACTCTTTTTATCTGCCAAAACTAAGCTACAAAAAACTATCGTTTACTTATTAATTCGAAAGGCAGAACACCTACATTAAATACGTATATTTTAGACGTAAATTTAAAAGTATTTGCCAGAGTTTTTTATTCAATGTTATTTCGTTCTTTCAACCTCTTCGTTTAATAGCTTGTTCCTAATATTTTCCTGCTGGTTTTCCTTTCCTTTCCTTTATTTCCATGGATATTTCCTCATTGACTTATGTTGCAAAAATGATATTAAATATATTTAGGCTGTCACTAAAACCATGTTAGTTGCCAGCCCAGCAGAATGAACAGCAGAAAATGTAAGTGGAGGACAATGGAGCCAGAGGAAAATTACTAATAAATTGCATTGAAATGCTGCGAAGACAACCAAAAGGCAAACAAGTTGACTGCCTCTCTCGGTCTTTCCAACTTTCGGTTACTAAATATTTTTCTCCTTCTTTCTGTATGCTTTTCTCTTTCCTTCTCTCTGCGAGTAACAGGTGCAGTGGCAGAAGAAGCTGCCACAACTCAATTTATTTCAACATGTACTTTTGCAACAATGAATTTCACTTTAGTTGCTAATGGATTTCGCATAGAAGGCAGTCAGGCAGCAGTACCAGTGGCAGTGGCATCAGGAGTGGTAGTACCAGGAGCAGTTTGTCTGCCTGTCTGTTTAAGGGTTGAGGTTTTTTCGGGTCAACTCCTGCCAAGGAACTGCATCGAGTCCTTGTGCTGTCTGGTGTCTCCATGCCGCTTCCTCCTTCCTGCCTTATCCTCCATCCTTTCTGCCGTCTCGTGTCTCTGCGGTAATGCATTTTGTTTGCTTGGTTGAAGCAACGCACCCACAATGACAAATGAAAGTTGACGCGCTGCCTCATTGAGACAAACGAGGGGGGACATGCACCAAGCGAGTGTCCTGCTGAGTCCTACCCCAGACAGACACTGTTGCCTGCTGGGGCTTTTGCCCATAATCATGCAAATGACCTTTAGGTTCCCTCAAAATGAGAACCGAGGGCCGGACTGGTCCCTCAGACCAATGCAATTATAAATGCACTGAAAGGAATACACAACAAAAATGTTGCCTGGAGCAACTTTAGCTTTCAGCTTTCTTTTCGTTCCCAGCTTCAGTTACTTCTTCCTATCAAAGCTCCTCAACTGATGAACTTATTCCTCCTTCAAGTCCCATTCCTGCCTGCCTCTTCAGGATACCTAATTAATTTTCTTTTAAATTACATTTGCCTGGACACTTGTATCAACATTGTCCGCTCATTGTTCTCATCCTCCACTTTGCAGCTGCTCATTTCGAATCTACGAAGTGGTGCGGAACTCTATTCATTGTGCACTCGATAGAGTGGACTCTGCTGCTTTTAATGCTGCCTTGTTGCCTTCAGAACTACAACTACTATTACCATGCCATTCAATTGGCAGTGAGAGTCCCGTCCACATTGTTCTTGTCTTCGCCTGCAACTGTGAGTTGTCTTAGTGCTTGTCTTTGGGACCAGCTCTTGGCCCATAATGCAAGTTATTTAAATCGAAATCGGTTAACAATTGTGTATTACAAGCTGGAAATGAAACAGTTCGATGGGAGTCAGGCTTGTGGCAATGCAAACTGAAAGGAGCACAGAAATGTTTATTGAGCGCCGCCTGCAGATACTTTCATGTTTTTCGTGTTTTTCTTGGTCTGAGATAGATGTTTTGTGAGACAAACGTTTGGGAAATCTGCAAAAATTATGCACTAATTGAAATTCTACTTTCCTGGCATGTCCTCACGTTAAGATTTTCCATTTGCCATCCCTAAATTGTGCACATTAAAGACCTTATGGATTGCCATTCAATTTCCCCCGTTGTGCAGTTGGATCACTCTTAAATACGAGCATTTAGGAGTATAGTATAGCATTTCTATGGAATATTCATCAGACCGCAGTTTCCGCTTGTTGCTCCCCGTGTGCGTCCCGCTGTTGAGCCGCCGCCGCCCCCCCGTTGTTGGTGGCGACTCCTCTTAGTTACACATGACATGTGTCAGGTGCAATCAAATACGCTTTCAAAGCTTAAACGCTTTTGGCGCAATGCGTGAGAATTTCAAACGGTTCTGCTGTTGCCACAGCAGCAACAGGAAGAGCAACATCAACGGCAATAGCAACAACCTGCCATGCCTCTCACGTGGCACAGATTGTAGGCCCATTCCCCCTTCAGCTTACTCTTCCCTTCCCACACGAATGCCACCCCTCCACGCTTTGGTTTGGAGCATTTGCTTTTGTGGCATTGCTTACTAATTGAATTTATGTACAGAATTTTGAAACAAAAGTTTCTTAGACATTGCTAAGATGGGGTAGGAAAGTGCCGAAAGGAGGTGTCCTTGGGGGCAGGCAACACATGTGTGCGATCGATATCAGTTGTGGCTGCCTCTGCTAAGAACTCCGCCTAGGCTTTCCTTTACTACTCCTTATTTGGAGAGTATAATAGGATTTGGAGAAGAGTCGATAAAGCAGAAGTTTCCGAACAGAAAGGAAGATTTAATGTATAATTAATTGGAATCATCTACTTGGTGGAACAATTAAATACACTTTTTAACAATTACAATTGCATGGTTTTCTTTTGCAATTCTACTTCAGCTCCTTCTCTTTTTTTGGGAAATTTGAAAACAATTTGTTCGCCTAATGCCAAAACATGTAAAGTTTTTTAATTGTCTACAAATTGGCAACATTTGCTCAGATGGCACTGCTGAAAGCGACAGGGATAAGCGGGAGAAAAGGGGACACAGAAAAGTCGAGGCTAAAGTTGGAAAAGCGGCGGCCTGGCGTCACATGTTGCACTTCTCAGTCCCCACAGGACCATAATTACTTCTAATTGAAATGCGAAACCCGCAAAGGAAATTGAACCGAAATGCCGTACTGTGAATTTTGCCCATTTAATTCCATTTTCTTGGCTGTGCTCTTACTTTTTTTCTCGAGAGTGTGTTAATGGGAATTTATGTGGGAGCTTAGCAAACCAAAACAAAAAACTAATTTGCACTTGGCAAATGTGAGAAATGGGAAGGCCAACCGCAGAGCAGACCAAGCGGGGTTAAGTCCTTGGGTGGAAATGGGATTTTTATGCAACACCAAGTTGACCGCAAGATGCAACCGAGACCCCTAGACACAACCCATTTGCGGTTGCGACACTTGCCACTGCAGGGAGATTTTATGGCCTCAGTTTTAGGGGGCGCTGCACATCAAGCTCATTATGTTCAGGGCCTAACGCTTAATTAATGCTCGGCTTACAGCATGCGTCACCAGACATCAAAAACATTCGTTTTGCAGCTGACGTTTGTTTTTGCCATTTGGGGCCGCCGCCGCCTCTCTGTTTGTTTTAAGCCATTACCAAGAGTCAACTTTTGTGGCTTGGCTGCTCTGGGTCGTGTTTACATTGAAGATTAAGCATCCGCACGCTTGCCTTAACCTGGGAAAAGAGCAACACAACTATGAAACCTACTCAGTAATTGCAAAATAAATGTGCAGCCTCTGGCAAGTGGAATAGTTCCCAAGGTGCAAATAAATTAGCATTACCAACAGCAAGTCAATAAGGATAATATTTACATATGTGCACATTCGCACAACAAACAAGATTTCGTGTGATGAAAAGCTATACCAAGGGTTGAGCAAAAGCAAAGAATATTCAACAATACTAAACTTTGATCGAAAAAATTGAAGAAGAACCTACTTTTTGTACGTGACTACATCATACCAATGACAGTACAACAAATCACAAATAAGGGAAAATATTTCAAGTTTATATTTGACTTCGTAGTGATTTTAGCAGCAAATGTTAAGCATCAATCGCTGAGGCTGCGATCCCTCTGTTAAAACCGACGGCCGCCTCTCTCTGTTAACTCTGTTAGCTCTGTTAGCTCTGTAGACGCTCTGCAGACTGTTACGCGCTGTTAGCGCTACAGACGCTGTTAAGTCCAGTCCATCAAATCTCGAATTAAAATTACTAAATGTAAGTAGATTGACAAAAGCTGATACCGAATGTGTCATCTTTAGGCATTAGCTTGATTGCTCACAGCTGGATTAGTCGGGTGATTAGTTAGTTACTCGAGGGGCAACTTCATCGCGCCCATCAAACTCTCGCTGCACACCTCGTTGCATAACTGACACACAGTTTCTAATCATAATCATTAAACGTTCTCCCATCAGGGAGACATGCATCGGGACGAGCTAAGCTATAACCACATTTGGCTACACAGAACTGCACTCCAGAGCGGGTAAGCTGCTCGTTGGTAGGGCGGGAGGCAGTGGCTAAGGAGGTGCGGGTGAGGGAGAGTGGCCTTGAAGTGGCCTGACGATGACTTGGACTTGACTGCGGTGGCTTTGGTGGCTCGATGGGCGCCTGGGCACACTTACACTTAGCGGACTCGTCGTCGTCGTCGTTGGATTGTGGCCTCGGCTCGGAACCCCTTTGGGGCTTGGCCTGCGACTGGTCGGCTGAGGGGTGCCCAGTGTTGAGTGTGCCATTGAGGCAAGGATGGGGTTAAGTTGTTGAGGCATGTCCTTGCCTTGGCATCAACTTTTAATTTACAACTGCGTCAAGTCTTCGTCTCTCTGTTTATGCCTCTACATCTGTCGTTCCTTCTCTCCTTCGCTCGTTCTTTTTGTTGATTTAATTTATTATGCAAATGTGAGTGCAAGCAAGACTAAAACGGGCTCCCCGTTGCCTTTTTTTCTCATATCATTATTATTACGAAGAAAAGAAATGAAAAGAAAAACAGTAAAAGCCTTGTTTTACTTTGACAAAGTTTTAAATACTCTTTAAAATTTAAAAAATGTTTATAGTTGCTCTAAAAGTTGGCCCCGAACACACACAAATATAATTCATCGTTCGCGTATCCATTCTAGGCTTATTTGTAATGCTTTCGAGTTCGATTCGATCCAAATCAATAATTAAAATATTATTAAATCGAAATACTAACATTCATAACTCCCTTACAAAAATTCAAAGACCCTCCAGGGTAAAGGGTAGAGAGAGGACGAAGCGCCTAAGTGAGCGCCACAACAAATGACGGGA